AAAACGTATTTTTTTTTTTTTTTAATGCGGCCACCTTAATGTGCGTTGAAACCCTTTGAAGAAAAGCAGGTTAAACTGTTATTTTTTGACAGTACTTAGTGCTAGTACTATGTCTTTCTGGACGCCAAATAGAATTTGTAAGTTTTATAAGTTAATATTTATATTTGTGAGTATCTGCTAAAATGTAGCTGCTATTTCAGGAATATATAGAATCGCTAATATTTTACGTTAAAAGATATATATATATATTTTGGCATATATGATCTGCTTCTGTAAAAATACCCCAAAGTAAAGGGCAGGAGGAGAAGTTTAGGTCAAGGTTGTGCTGTTAAGTGTTATAATTTTTTGCTTTTTCAAAGCTTTTCTAGTCAAAATTGTGGACAAGGTATTTTATGCCAAGATAGAACATTTCTAGATGTCCTTGTCATTTGATTTAAAAGAGTTTGCGTAGTTCCAGTAAAATTTTAACCAGTTTCCATGAGATCTCTGTTCACCCACATTCCAATAGTAAGTACATGGTGTTATCAAACTTTTTATGAGATGTTAGGGAGTTGCAATAATTTATAACTGACACCATAATCAAAATCAAGTTTTTTTTTAGTGATCTTGAGACTATTCAGGTCTCCCAAAGAAGAATATAAAGAGCTATGCTTGGAATATCACGTTTCACTCAAATGAGAGAAAGAATCCGGAGTTCCGAAATCCATCGACGATCAAGAATCAGGGACGCTGTCTCGTTTGCCAAGGTGTCGAAAATCATATGGGCTGGTCACATAATGAGATTTAGAGACGACCGCTGGACTAGAGCTGTTACCGATTGGATTCCACGGGATGTCAAAAGACCGCGTGGCCGCCCGCCTACCAGATGGTCAGACTTCTTCGTCAAGATCATGAACGATCGGTTTGAGGCCCTTCATGTTCCCGGAGCGAACAGATGCCATTGGGCTACACTAGCACGCGACAGGGACAAATGGAGACGTTGCTGGAGCAAATCGACGACTAACGGGAAGTTAAGTGATTAAGTGATTAAGTGAGACTATAAAAGTCTCCGGAGTGCTGGGGATGGGTAAACGCCCATCACTAGGTCTGCGATGTGTTACTTTTGTCAACTCTGTCAAATGGAGAAGTGCAAGTTATAACAAGGTACTGTTTCGCCTGTCTTTTTTTTTGTTTGTTTGTTATCTTTGTCTTAATAAAAAGTGTAAAGCCATGGTTATGCTTGTATGTCTCTGTCAGTTGGCTTTTTGGGCCAGCAGTCATTGTGTAATCTGTGGTCCCTGGCACTGCCCAAAGTCATTTATGCCTCTTGGGGATCTATACTGGTTGTTGAAGCATATATTGGAAGAGATAAAGCCGGATTCTGAACACGATTAGTCTTTAATGTGGCTAACAATACATACGAGGAATTGTCCAATTAAAAAGTTAAGTAAGTCAGCAGTCATTGTTTCTGGACTCGAAGAAATCAGCATTTTCTTGAATTCCCCCTCATTTCTGGTTCTCACAGGCCCAGTTATGTGCAGCTCTTGGGGGTGAGAAACTAGCATGTGAGAAAAAAAACTTCTCTGTTCTTCCCTCTCCTTAATCTTTTTGTATCACACCTGGCGATGCACAGGGGTTACTCCTGGCTTTGCACTCAGGAGTTACTCCTGACAGAGCTCAGAGGACCATATGGGATGCTGGGAATCGAACCCGGGTCTGCCGCATGCAAGGCAAACGCCTTACCCGCTGTGCTCTCTCTCCAGCCCCCCCATCCTTAATCTTAAGTGTCTCCTGTCTTGGGTGTTAACAAAATCCCAAGATTGCAGCCGTACACATTATCTGTGGGATAGCACCATAGGCTGAAGAATTTGTCACACTTCCATGGAGATGTGTTCAAAACTTATTTGAGGCCACCATTTATAGGTATTTATTAAATATGTTATTCATGCCAGGCCCAATTGTCGCAGAGCAAGATCACCAGTGTTTACAAAAGTGTCTATGTTGTTAAAAAGCCGATTGCTGCATTTTCTGCAAATATACTTACAGATATAGAAATAAAATTTGATAATACCTTGATACTGATGCGGTCAGATTCTGGGGAAAATTCAAGTAGAAGCATTGATGGGATTTGTAAGGTCTTTGGGGTGATGCAAGATTTCAACTGAGTGCATAAGACTGAAGAAGAGGTTTAACTTTTTATTTTATTTTATTATTATTTTTTTAAGACCAAAGAAGAGGTTTTAACTGAGACACGTTTGATGGCATTGAGCGTTTTCCGTTCTCAGAAAGAAGACTGATAAGTATTTCCTGTGGCTACTGTTCTCCCAATGTACAAATTTCTCCTTTTCTGGTCTTTAGCATACCTGGAAATTTACCCTGTCACTCTCTGTTTGCAATCCTGTGTTAACCTCATCACCTATTAGGGTCTTTATTATTTTAACAATTCTTTTTTTTAAATGTGGTTTATACAACTGACAAATTTAAAAGAACTAATCCTTGAGAAAGGAATCAAAACTTTAAAATATAGGTGTGATAACTTCATTGTAACAAATTTAAATAAATGCAATAACTCTGTACCCAAGGCTCCTCTTTCCCGCCATCTGTCTGTTACAGTTCCTTCTCCCAGATCTCCTTCTTTTAGCTTTTACTCTCTCTAAAGTACACTGGAGTTTCTCTTTCACATTTAATATTCTCAATCTAGCCCTGACCTAGCTTGGAGTATCAGCCTTTCCTACTTGAATGCCAGAATTATTATTTCAAAGACTAACCTGTGAGTCCAAGCAAACCATGTAGAAATTAAGAAAGGAGTCACTAACTTCATTCTCAAATTAAGATTCAATGGGAACATGAATTATATGTTGTCTCAAGGTAAATGTATAATAGTCACACATGGAGACTTTGCCTATGTGTGTGTGTTCTTAATTTTATAACATATATTAAAGGTGGAGGATGTTCAGCCCCAATCAGAGCAGGCTTGGAGATCTCAGCCCCGGGAACCGCATGCCTTTGTTCCTCTTCCGGTACCTTCATGCATGTAGAGAGTGGTCTCAGCATGGTGGTGACTGGTTCTGGAGGTCTTTGGCTGCTGGAGCTCTGCTCGGGGCGGGGAGGGAAACTCAACCCACTCCCTCCAAGGGGCCCCAATGAGGACAGCCAGGCGAGGGAGCAGGAGACTCTGCCTCCACCCAGATCCTCCATCTTTCAGTAGGCAGGGGTCATACCCACTAACTGACCCCCTGGTGCCATGTAATCCCATCACCGGCCAAGACCCAGAGACTATAAAACCCAGCTCCCGGAAGTGCATGGCCGCATTTGCGGCTGCGCGACCTCTTATTATCTCATTCTTACTTTGGACAACCTGGCAGGCTACCGAATGTAACCTGTCCACACGGCAGAGTCTGGCAAACTCCCCGTGGCGTACCCAATGTGCCAAATACCAGTAACAATGATGGCTCTCATTCTCCTAACCCTGAAAGAGCCTTGAATATGGCACTTTTTAAAATCTCAGGGCTAGGATGAAGGAGACGTTACTGGGGCGTGCTCGAGGCAATCGGCGAACAACAGGATGATCGTGATAGTGATAGTGATATTAAAGGTAAAGTCTCATTCTATTCGTGAATGCAAACAAATCAGAAGAGATACCAAACATTCTGATATGCCAAAAGAATATCTTAAAAGATTAGGATGCTAACAAAATTTATGGTATCCTTAGCATACTTAATAAATACTGCTAATATCAAAAAATATATATAGGTGTGCTGACCCAGTGTGGACATTTGGGGAGCACGGGGGTGGGGGATGGGAGGAGGTGACTACACACAGCCCCTTCATCCCACCCCAGAACTTCAGGCAGCTGTCCTCTGAGATGCTGTGACCTGGTCACTGTGCAGAGGGGATTTTCAGGCAGGTAGAGACAGGGTGGTTCATTTTCCAGCACAGAGATTTCCCGACTTCGAATATTGTAGGTGATGAGGCTAACGAAAGATTGTGAACAGAATGACAGGATAAGCTGACAGCTATGCTAAAGACCAGAAGAGGAGAAATTTGTACACTGGGAGAACCGTAGCCACAGGGAAGTATATATCAGCCTTCTTTCTGAGAACAGACGATGCTAAATGCCATCAAACATGTCTCACTGAAAACCTCTTTTTCAGTTTCCTCACTCACATGAAGTAAAAGTAGGTCAGCATTTTCAAGATGGTGCAATTTTTCTCTTCTTGGCAGAAATCGAGCTGGGGCCTTCACACACGAACCCTAGAGACACCAGTTCAGACTCAACTTCCGTTTTGTAGAGTCCAAGTGTGATGCTCCTTTCTGATCATCTATTATTGACATTGTCTTTTTAATTTTTAAATTCTTTTTATGTTTTTGGGTCACACCTGATGGTGCTTGGGGGGTTCTTCCTGGCTCTGCACTCAGGAATTGCTCCTGGTAGTGCTGAGGGGACCCTGGGGGATGCCTGGATGGAACCCAGGTTGGCTGGTTGCGAAGCAAATGCCCTCCCCGCTGGACTATCATATCACCCAGCCTTTGCCATTATTATTTTCTTTTCTTTTGTGCAGTGATGGGGACTGAGCCCAGGGCTTCACACCACAAGGCAAGTTCTCTACCACTGAGCTACGTCTGCAGCCCTACTGTCCTTTTTCAATAGAACAACACCAGAAAATCAAAATGCAAGGATATAATACTAAATCAGGAATGTACTGGATTTTTGATGGAGTTGATTTAACCTAAGGTGAAACTTCTTATTTTCCTCCCTCACTCCTCTCCCCACCAGGTTGATCAAAATAAAATTCTGTTGTGGTGCCGAGAGGAAGAAGAGTAGGTAAGATTGCCTTATGTGTGGGGATGCCTGGGACCCACCTCAAAGAGCTGCCCCCTGGGACCAGAGGAGCCCCAGAGCTTCTCTGGGTGTGGTCCCTACTCTCTCCCGCCAAGAGACACTCTTTGAAACCATCAAACAAATCGTCTTTTGTTGCTCAGGGTAATTATGATTCCTTGCTCGGAATCCTTCCGTGTATTCACAGCTGTGCTGAGCATTTTTTTGCCAACAGCAGCCTCTTGACTGCACTCTTGACGTCTTTGTTTCTCAGCGTGTAGATCAGAGGGTTCAGGCTGGGAGTGATGATGGTGTAGAAGAGAGTCAGGAACTTGCCCTCGTTGGGGGCTGTGCTGTTACTCTGGGGCTTCATGTACATAGAGATGAGTGTTCCGTAGAAGAGAGTCACCACGGTGAGGTGGGAACCGCAGGTGTTGAGGAGTTTTCTCCATCTTCCTTCAGACTTGATTCTCATCACGGCGCGGGTGATGACCCCGTAGGAGACAAGAATCAGTGACAGAGGAACTAGGAGAAACACCACTCCAAGAGTGAAAACTACCACCTCAATGACTTTGGAATAAGCACAAGCCATCTTGATCAACGCTGGCATCTCGCAGAAAAAATTATCCACTTTTCGGTGTCCACATCTTGGCAATTTCAAAGTCAAGGAGCAGATAACTATGGCACTTCCAAGGCCACCCAGCCAGGAAGTTATGACCATCTTGTGGCATAGCTGGGGGTGCATGATCACCATGTAGTGCAGAGGCTGGCACACAGCAGCATAGCGGTCATAGGCCATCACAGCCAAGAGCAGACACTCTGTGGCGCCCAGGTCCAGGGCAATGAAGAACTGGAGCACACACCCTCCGTATGTGATCGACCTCTTTGGCCCCCACATATTCACCAGCATCTGGGGGACAATGGTGGTTGTATAGCAGAGATCCAAGAGCGACAGGTTGGAGAGGAAGAAGTACACGGGCGTGTGGAGCTGGGCGTCCAGGTGAGACACCAGGATGATGGTCGAGTTTCCCACCAGAGTCACGAGATAGGAGATGACAACCACCAGGGAGATGATGCGTTCTAGTTGGGGTCTGTCAGAAAACCCCAGAAGGATGAAGTCTGTCCCAGAACTCTCATTGTTTACGTCCATTGTTCTTTAGGAAGCGAGGAGATAAAACCGTGTTAGCAACAATAATGACAGCAACGTATTGTCAACAATAGCAATATACAATCAAGACAACTCAAAATCTCTAGAGCGGCTGGGTATCTAAAACTCATTTTAACTGCATGTTTCTCCCCCTCTCCCCCAGCCATGGAAAATCTCTTTGAACATTTTCCTTGAGTCAAGAGTTCAAGAGTTCAAGAGTTGTGTGTGTGTGTGTGTGTGTGTGTGTGTGTGTGTATACTTTTTGGGTTTCACTCAGTGATGCTCAGTGGTTACTCCTGGCTCTGCACTCAGGAATTACTCCTGGCAGTGCTTGGGGGACCCTATGGGTGGCTGGGGATGGAACCTGGGTCAGCCGCATCCCAAGTCTCTTCATATTTAAATCATGTATGTTAAACCAATCATACTGAATGTAAATCACTGAAAGTATTTCCAGATGACATGTCACCAATGGTTCCATGTACTATGGCAAAGCACTAAATGCATAAGGTTAGTTTAATGATTTTAAAGATAAGATGTATTTTTACTTACTTAAAATTGAACCAATTTCAGAAGTGTTTGCCACAATATACAGGCAGCAGCAGATTGTGCTAATGTCTCCTCTCCTGGCCATTTAGCAAAATTAGCAAGGCAGGAAATTCAACAACAAAGAATTCATTAAGCAACCAGCAGTGTGTTGTTTTCCCCATGGAATTTACCAATATATAACTCAGTTTTCTGGGTCTATTTTTTTTTTTTGGCCACAGCTTGTGGTGCTCAGGGCTTACTCCTGGCTCTGTGCTCAGGAATCACTCCTATCAAGCTTGGGGCACCATATGGGATGCTGGAATCAAACTCGGGTTGACTGCATGAAAGGAAAGTGCCTTACTCACTGTATTATCTCTCTAGCCAGGATAATTCATCCATCACTATTACAAGTCTAAAATAATAAGATAAAAATTAAAAATTAGGGGTATGGAGGGGCACAGCAAAGCCTGGCAAGCTATCTGTGACGTATTCAATATGCCAAACACAGTAACAAGTCTCATGATGGAGACGTTACTGGGTCCCCTCGAGCAAATCGATGAACAATGGGAGGACAGTGCAGTCCAGTGCAGTGCATGAAGGGGCTGGAGCAATAGCACAGCGGGTAGGGCATTTGCCTTGCATGCGACTGACCTAGGTTTGAATCCCAGCACCCCATGTGGTCCCCCGAGCACCGCCAGGAGTAATTCCTGAGTGCATGAGTCAGGGATAACCCCTGTGCTTCACCAGGTGTGACCCAAGAAAAAAAATAGGGGTATGGAGTAATAGTTTCACTAAACATGGTAATGCATCCTATGATTAAATAGGTTGATTAACAACTGAAATATATTGTTGATTAATACCTTTAGTTTGTGGTCATAAACTTCAGACCTAGAATTATTTTTTTGAGGTTAAGGAATACTATGGGGTGATAGTACAGTGGGTAGGGCATTTGCCTTGCATGCGGCCAACCCGGGTTTCATTCCTCCGTCCCTCTTGGAGAGCCCGGCAAGCTACCGAGAGTATCCCGCCCACGTGGCAGAGCCTGGCAAGGTCCCTGCGGCATATTCGATATGCCAAACAGTAACAAGTCTTACAATGGAGATGTTACTGATGTCCGCTCAAGCAAACAGATGAACAACAGGACAACAGTGCTACACTGCTGTACAAGGAAAACTATTAAGTCTCAGTCATAATGAACTGAGTTTAGAAAAATTATCTATGGTATATTGCTGATATAAGCATTTGAGTTAGAATACTGCAGTCTGCAGTCCTATGTCCATTATAGCACTACTCACAGATGATCAAACCTGGGAGTGACCCAGCTGTCTGAGCATAGATGAGCAGACAAAGAAACTAGGGTACATGGTGTAATACTTAGCTGTAAGGAAAGATGAAGTCATGCATTTGCTGCTATGTGGATAGATCCGGAAAGTGTCAGGATGACTGAAGTTACTCAGAAGGGGAGGGGCAGACCCAGAAGGAACTCTCTCAAGGGAGGGCTACAAAGAAAAGTGGTCCATAACAAAGGCCCAAGGTGTCGGGAGCCAAGACTGCTCTGTGAGACCTTGAATTACTGAGCCCCCTTTGAGGGGCCCACACAGACCCTGAGAGCTTCCTCCTTAGAGGCTCCCCAGGACTCTCTGACCCTGACGGATGTTTGTCCGGTGACCATGAACAGGCAGGCAGATACTTGCGTAAATCTGGACTTATCTATAGATATGCCCAGGTTGCAGCTGCTGCCATAAGACCCTTTGATGTACAGACGTTTTACCTTGAATGCTATGTAAAGTTCTTGTTGCTGGCTTTACCATGTATGGTTATATTGCTTCTGCTCGTGACTGGGCCGCTCTGGACCCTATATAAACAGCCTGTAGCCCTCAATAAAGTCTGTCCCTTTTTCTGTTTCTAAACTGCACTCTGTCTCTTGTGTCTTGTGTTCATTCGATTGGTCCCTCCTTGCACCTACGGACCCTAGGGCCACCTCCACGGACTGGAGGATTGGTCTGGCGGGGACCCCCCGCACCAAGGCAACAGAAAAGGAGAAATGGTCTTCAACAGGAAGCTTACAGCAAAGGGAGCAGGGCAGAGATTAGGTTGGAGGAATGCTGGGACAACAGTGTGATGAAATGACACCATGGGGGCTGGGATGGCGCAGGATTGTGTTACGCATGAAATCCCATCCTTACCATTACAGTAAACCTCAGTGTATTAATTAAAAATGAACTTGAAAACAAAATCCTTTGATATTAGAACCATGAAGAAGAAACTGTCAGGATCAAGGGGTTAAGAGAGAGATGTAATTTTTATAAGACACAACAGAAATTGAGTTCCTGAAGGAGTGAGTGTTCTGCTTCTGTGCGGTGGGATGTGAGTTAGGTCAAGTGTGAAGGTCACAGAATCTGAACTCAACGTGCTTGGGATAAAATTTTTGTTGCCAGTTGAAATTAAAGTGTTCTGGGCAACCAGTCATGGAAACTCTTTGTGTCTCAGGCCCTTCATATGTTAAACAAAGCTAAGACTTCCTCAGACGCAGGGGTGAGGCCCATCTTGTGCAAACACTTGAGACATCTGGGTCACATTCAATTATAAAACTTAAAAACGATTCACCTACTCTCCCCCTTGCCCCCCTGTTTTTCCTTTACTCCTACATCATTCACTCGGTGAGTTAGTCAAGATGGTCTGGAGCTGATTGGAATGCTCACACAGTTTGCATACCTGGAAACACACAGAAATGCCCATGAGCAAAGTGTATACACTGAGTCAACAAACTCCAGAAGCAAAAGCATATGTCAGCTTCAAACTACAATGTCTAGTTGTGTTTGTCTGTCTTGGCCACTCAAGGTTCAGATAGACTTGGGAATCCCAAAGGGTGCTGCCTCTCAAAGTCATGATGGAACTCAGAAGTCAGGAGTCGACCCTGCCCTGTAATCCCTCTGCAGGACCACACCGGCCTATTCCATCACCTTGGTAACAGAGATGGGGCCAGCACCTTCTTTCCCACGGTCAATGCCTCTTCCCTCCTTCTATGATGAGCACAAAGATTCTTTGAGGTTCTTTTCTTTTTAATAGTAAAAAGCTGTGACTCTGAGTGGTTTAAGGTGTATATACCTGGAACTTAGACATGGGTGGAAACAACAATGGCAACCGACCAGGAAAGTTCTCCTTAGCGCATCATCCACAGTGCTCAAATCCTGGTGCTTATTGGGATTGTAGCAGTGTAGCACTGTCCTCCCGTTGTTCATTGATTTGCTCCAGCGGACCCAGTAACATCTCCATCGTGAGACTTGTTGTTACTGTGTTTGGCATATCGAATACGTCATGGGTAGCTTGCCAGGCTTTGCCGTGCGGGCGAGATACTCTCGGTAGCTTGCTGGGCTCTCCAAGAGGGGTGGAGAAATCGAACCTGGCTCGGCCGGGCTGGCTGAGCGCAAGGCAAACGCCCTACTGCTGGGCTATCGCTCCATCCCTATTGGGATTGATGCTTTGTGTTTTAATAGTGAAATTACTCTAGTGTGCTTATCTAGACAATATAGTTTAGCTCACATTTACCCTATGTCTTTAAAATCTCTTAACATTATCATCTCTTATTAAAATATATGCTTAGATTGCTGACTCTTCCCAAACTAAATGACTAAATGACCCTAATGCTGTTTAACCTTCAACTACCCACGTCTCAGTTTTCTCTTCACAGGACACCTTGGGATTGTCAAATATCTCATACGATGGTGTGTTCAAGAGAAAACACAGCAGTCAAATGAACTCTATTACACTCTGAAAAAAATGGAGAATGTCTGTGATCTATTGACTGCTCTGTGTGTGTGTATGTGTATGTTGGCTTTTGAATTTATCCAGCAGTGCTCAGGGCTTACTCCTGGCTTTGTGCTCAGGGATCATTTCTGGTGATGCTCAGGTGACCATAGGTGGTGCCAGGTATTGACCCTGGGTCGGCTTGTGTGCAAGGAAAGTGTCTTAACTCCTATACTATTGCTGGCCCTCTGTTCACATCTTGCAAAATATTTGTGACAAAGTCTACCCAGTGAAAACATTACCGACTTATTTAAAATTTGGGTCATAAACTTTGTCTCCCAGGATCCATTGGAGTACTTTCTAGCCAGGAGAAATCCTTTATGTAGTTTGATCTCATAAACCCAAATAGAGATCTTTCCTCTTTAGCATTTAGACATTTTCCATATCGGTCTTTTTTTTTTTTGCTTTTTGGGTCACACCCGGTGATGCACAGGGGTTACTCCTGGCTCTGCACTCAAGAATCACTCCTGGTGGTGCTCAGGGGACCATATGGGATGCCGGGAATTGAACCCAGGTTGGCCACATGCAAGGCAAATGCCCTACCCGCTGTGCTATTGCTCCAGCCCTCCATACTGTTTTTAAGTCTTGTGTCTCAAGATTTAGATTACATAATTTTTTAATATATGTGAATATGATACTAAAATCAGGTGAGATGAGAAATAAGTTATATT